CCTCGGTTCTACCCGAGACTCCTTCCCACGGTGTCTTGCCCCTGGCGGGTCACAGAGCCCCCCAGTCTCGGTAGACGGACGCGGTAATCAAGGACCCATTACAGAACCATCATCCAAGGAAAGGTACAGAAAGCCTTCCACCAAGTCGTCGTAGCCGTTGTCCTCCCGAGCAGCGATGCATAGACGGGGCACTCGTCGCAACGTACCATACTGGAGGACCCGCTTAACCGCCGATCCACTCCAGGAGGTAAAATGCCGATACCAAGCGCCGTCAGCCAACGGCTCCAGCCTGCCCGCTTGAATCTGTTGGAAGCGCCAATCGAACCAGCGTTCTGCGCCGTACCACCACTCCCCAATGCCCAGTGCTGCGTCCCATATGTCCGGATGCGGGAACCAAGAGCGACCATCAGGAAGGCGGCCAATAAGCGCGTTAACTTCCGGGGCCGTAAGAGCATCCGAGACGAAGTTATGCCACCCCGAACGGTCGTCGGCTGCCGGGGCCGCAATGGATGGACCATGGAGAGCTGCTGCTGCCAGGCCCGGATTGAAGCGCAACGCTAGGCGCCAGAGAATGCCGCCGTCCCAGATGAACGCCCGCGCGTGCGGACGGACCGAAACTGCCGCAGCGCCAGCGAACCAGGCAGCCCACCCCATCGAGCCCTCCAGCGGAGCTGGTGCGACGAAGGGCTCGGGGGGAGGAACCGAGACACCGGTAGCCCCCCAGATGATACGGACACCATGCGCAATCGCCCAAGTCACGAACAACTGGGCCCGACCGAGCTCGAGATGCTCCCAGTACCACAGACGCAGTGCAGAGACGGGTGGCAGCGCCACTCGCCCACGAGCAGCGGCAACTAAGTGCCCAGGGACCAGCTCGGGACAGAGCAAGCGGGAAATACGCCCCATCTCCGCGAACCAGGTCTCTTCCACACCCCGTACTTCGTTATCGGGCCAGCGGACGTCGACTGGAGCAGCATCCGCAACAAAGCCCCACGGGCGACGCGGAGGACCGATGGGCCATTGCGAGCGAGGAGGTTGCCGAAGGACCGCGGGTGCGGGACCCAAGCGTTGTAGTAAAAGCGCATCTGCTCGTGCTGGCATAATACGCCGCGACAAGGATGCCCGTCGACGAGCCGGCCCTGCTGTAGTGGAAGATGAGCTCGCGCGGCGAGCGGGGGATATGCTGCGAGGACTGCGTGCTCGCGGTGGAGGCAAAGGCGCGACCCGGTGGCTAGGGCGACTCCTCGACCCAGATCCGGATGAGGAACCCCCGTACGAGTGGCGTACTGTACGTTCGTAGTGTTCCCGACGCGACCACGCCAACTCCTCTGCGGATGGAGTATCTGGAGCGGGGTCGGCGTCCTGTGTGGTATCGACACTAGGCTCAGGAGCCGGCGCGGCGGTTGCTTTCGCTTTGCCTTTCCCTTTGCTCGCTGCGGGCTCAATCGTGTCCGTGACCGCTTCCGACTGCTCAACATCGACTCCTGAGGGTGTGGGCGAGAGGGGGAGTACGGAATTGCCCTGTCGACCACTCCCGGCCGGGAATGTCGGCTGATCTACGTCCATGGCCTCGCCCGCGTCGGCGGTCAACCGGTTAAGCGCCGGCTGGTACCAGTTCGGATCATTCGGTATACCCATGGCTCGAGCCCGCCAGTCGGTGGTAGCGCTTCCGTAGCTCGACGGCCAAGCCATGCGACTCGGAGGATAGGACGGTTGACTGGGTATGATCGGCGGCGGGCGAGCGGGCCATTGACGGTTATCCGCGAAGAGTTGGTCGCCTTCCAGGTCCGAGATCCCGTCCTCCTCCTCACTACCCGAATGCTCCCATTCCGAGTCCGACTCGCGAGCTTTCCCTTTTTGTGCGGGTTTACGGGTGGATCGGGTCAGCTCGTCAATCGGGACGGCACGGCCTAAAGGAGCGGAGGCTTCGCCTCGAGCGGGTATCGGTCTCCATTCCACAAACGTGAGATCCCCGGGCCGAGGCCAGTCCCGTAGGTACTCGAAACGGCGAATCCAACCCTGCATCGCAGCATGACGGACGGTGAACCAGGCGATGGCCATTCCGGAGACATCCTCTCGCGCGCGACCGGGTGGTAGCACCGCCCTTCGACGCAAGAGTGCTCGAGTTCCTTCCCCCACAACGCCCCCGCGACGCGATCCGAGCTTATCCTTGAGAAAAGCGACTCGAACGGCGTCTCCATAAGGAGCGGTGGAGGAGCGCTCTTCGCTCTCCCGACGACGTGCTTCGCGGGCGGCATCTTGCCTGGCCTGCTGAGGAAGGTCGGTGTTGACACGGGCGAAGTGCCGAGGCATGAGGCGTCGTCCGGCAGCCGTGTCAGGTTCGTCCACACCCGTGCACCACCAGTACGGAATATGCAGATCAGCGAGAGTGGATAGGGGCGGCCACGCTGCAGCCGGCGCGTACACGTCGAGCAGGAAGCCCGCGTACTCCCCTTGTCGCACGCCATAAGCTTCGACTAAGTCGGCGAACGAGCGACCTGGTGCTGAAGGGTATAACCACCCAGCGGGCTCGAACGCGAACAAAGCATCCCGAGATAGGGGGTGCAACACCATCCGCGCAAATGCCAAGTGGTCGGCGACATCACGGCGGAATTCATCCAGAGCTCGAACAATATCGGCTGCTTCCCCCAGAGCGGCACTCGCTCGACCGTAGCGACGAACAGGAGCAGGACGTGGAAATCCCGCGTCCAGCATTCCTGCGAGGCCCGCGACCAATGCTTCGACGTCGTCGGCAATAATGTTCAGGGCCACGGCCGCGGGTTCTGACAATAGAAACCCGCCGAACGTCTCGCGGATAAGTAACCCGTCCTCTTTCCACCACCAGTGTAGGGTTCGAGGTCGTGTTGGATAGTAAAGAAATGCTCGCCAAGGAGCATCGGGTGTGTACCACACTGGCGCTGGCCACGTCGGGATCCCATCGCGTCCGGGGTAGTACGGCCGGCCGCCCCGTTCGAGAACAGGCGCGTAGGGGGGACGGCCCGGGTCTGACGGCGGGTAAGGTTCGCGTTGGCCGATGACCATCCAGGTACCGTAAGCCGAGGAGTCCGAACTTGTCCAATTGGCCAGGGACGACGAGTGAGGCGGTAGAACCGCTTCTTCGTCGACCCATGCGAAGTCGGAGCCCAGGGTGCCCCAGAGCCGAAGGCGATGAATCCAAGTGTGGAATCGTGGCTCGATGTCCAGAGCTAAGTCGGCATAACTGTGCCAGAGCGCCAGGTTCGTCTGCGGGTCATCCGCTTCGCGCGCAGGAGGGGAAGGTACCATCCGTCGCCAACGAGATTCGTCCATCGCGTCGTCGTCACGGGGAGCGGCCAGAGTGAAGGGAGCCGAGACAGCAATCCAGAAACTGAGGGCCCATAAAGAGGCGCAAAATAGCGCAACTCGCGAGACAAGGAAGTGCCGAGTCATGCTAGCTGCGCGATGATGAAGTTGAGAAGAGAGAAAGGAAGAGACGACGCGCGCTGAAGTCGGCGCGGAACGACGCGTTTTTCGCACGCGGTAACGCGGTCGCGTGACTTCAACGTAAATGGTGAAGCGCGCGATAAGAGGCCAGGTGCCCTGGGGCATTCCTCAAATCCGCTAGAGTGGACCAGGAGTCGTACAAAGGTGAATAGCCCTCCCAACGTATCAGATACTCATTCTGTCTCGTACGGGCATTCCACCGGTGACCCACTATCTTCTCCACGGGGTACTCCTCTGATGCGGGCTTAGAGCGCAGAGAATCCGGGAGGACATCACGCTCGCCGAATTCTGGTCCTGAGCGGCGGTACTTCTTCAGGTGCTCCACGTTGAAGACTCGAGATCCCGGATAAGTATCGCCCATGATGAGACGGTACGTATTATCGGTCACTCTTTCAGCGACTTTGAAGGGACCAATAGCTCTTTGGACCAATTTACGCCCGGCGCCTTTAGATTCAACCCACTCTAGCGTGTGAGGGTTAAGGAGAACCTCATCCCCCACAGCGAAAGTGATCTGACGACGACCTCTGTCGTAAGCTTGCGCTTGTTTAACTTGAGATCGTGCCATTGCATCCCGGGCCGCTCGACGATGGAACTCAACCGAGGCAAGATAGTCGCGGACTCCCTCCTCAGAGAGTTCGGACTGTGGCAAGGACGCTACGTGCTTAGGAGCGGCAAAGTCTAACGATCCAAGCGGTTCCCACCCACGCAGCAATAAGTATGGGGAGTAACCAGTGGAAGCATGCTTCGCTTGGTTGTAGGAGTGTTGTAGCATGGGAAGCCATTTCGCCCAACCAGTGCGATCCCCCGCGACATACGCTCGAAGCATGATCTCTAGCCGCTGATTGACTATCTCTGTCTGACCATCATGTTGCGGGTGATGCGTAGAGGACAGCATCATGCGAGACTTCATCAATGCAGCGACCGCATTCCAGAACTTCGACGTCCAACGGCGGTCCCGGTCCGATATGATCCCTCGCGGCAGCCCGAATTGACAGACGACATGTTTGACGAATAGGGTAGCGAATCCCTCAGCGTCTAGACCGGTATCCGTAGGAATAAACTGGGCGTGCTTCGAGAAGCGATCGACGATAACTAGGACAGCGTTGTACCCATCACTCCAGGGTAAGTTAACCACCAGATCCATGGAGATGACTTCGTACGCGCGCTCCGGGATCGGGTTGGATCTGAGGAGGCCGAACTTGGTAAAGTTGGGATGCTTGGTCTTCTGGCAGACGTCGCACGTCTCGCAATAGCGCTTTACATCTCGGGACATACGCGGCCAAAAGAATCGAGTGGACAAGGCGTGTAAGAGCTTATCCGGCCCTGCATGAGCCGTGTGCAAGGGGGATTCGTGCGCTTCCCGCATAACGGCGGCTCGCTCCGACGCTGGCACGCATAGCCGTGGCACAAAATCGGCGTCGCGAAAGTATAGCAAGCCGTATTCGTCTTTCAGATAGCGTTGAGAAGGATGCCAAGGGTCGGACGGCGAGGCCGCCTTCTCCCATTGCTTCTTGAAAGCCGGGTCCTTCTCATACGCCTCGACGAACCGCTGGCGATATGCCGGCTCTAGCTCCACTACGATGTTCGGAGGAGGATTCGCTCTTTCCCACCGCTTGCGCTTGTCATACAGTCCATCATCGTCTTCGTCGTCCGAAAGGTCTGACAAGTCCGACAAGTCCCCGGAAAGGTAATCCTTCTGGTACAAGCTATCCGCGTTCTCTGCACCAGCAGTAGGACGCCCAGACAACGGTATGACCGAGTCCGTCTCCTTCTGCGGCGAGGACGCGGACGCGTCCTTAGATCTCGTATTGACCAGGCGTCCTTCTTTGGAGAGGTATGACCGCTCTGTAGGTTGGTACGCACTGGGCCAAAAGTCCCACCAAGCGTGAGCAGCAAACGATTCGGCCGGCTTGTACTGCGAGGGAGGTTGGTCACTCTCCTTGCTCATGGCGGCAGACAAGGCCGGGGTGTCGTCCTCAGTCGGAGATACGTGCTCTGGGACGTGTTCGAACAGGCGCGATATAGGATCGACGTTGCCGTGGTCCTTGCCTGCTCGATGGACGATCTCTAAACCGGGCTTGTAGGCTCCAAAAACCGTTCCCCAAGCGCCCAAGCGCCTGTTCTGGTTCTCGTAAGTTTTGGCCCACTGTAAAGCCGCGTGGTCGGTGATGAGGAGGATATCCTCTCCCTCAATGAAAGGTTGGAACTTGACGAGCCCTTCCTTAGCCGCAAGCGCTTCTCTCTCGGTGCCAGAGTAGTTCTTTTCGGCGGGTTTGAAAGTACGACTCCAGTACCCGATCACTCTTTCGACGGGAACTTCAGTCTCCTCCCACTCAGGCCGCCACTCCTCTACCGGATCGACATCGCGTATTTTGTCCGAGGCATTATAAACGAACACGGGCGGCTTCTTCCCCGCCGCGTGCGCCTTGCGGCAACGTTCATAAGCTTTGGTACCCTTCAGGTCACGCACGGCAATAGGTTGAACCTGCTGCAGCGTGCATCCGAGGCCGTGACCCGACGCGTCGGTGTATAAGCGGTAGGGCTTCCCTTGGACCGGATGTCCGAGAATTGGGGCGCTTCGGAGTGCTCGTTTGATTAGGTCGTGTGCTGACTGATGCTCCTCTGTCCAAGACCACTTAACATCCTTGCGTAGAAGCTGGAACAGAGGGGCCGCCATGGACGCGTAGTGAGGCATGAAGGCTTGGAAATATACGGCCATGCCGAGGAAGGTCCTCAGCTCCGCGACCGTCTTAGGTTCCGGCAACTTCAGAATGGCCTCCACCTTCTCTTTGTGCGTCGACAGGCCTAACCGCGACACCTTGTGACCAAGGAGAATGATCGAACTGTAGAACATATGGCACTTTTTGGGCGACAAGGTAAGACCTGCTGCCGCAATAGCACCTAGGACCTTGTCCAAGTGTTCGATGTGTTCCTCATAGGTGCGAGAATATACCACGATGTCGTCGATATATACTAGACAGAATATCCAAAGGAAGGGCGCTAGTACGCTTTGCATGACCCGTTGGAAGATGGAGGGACCGTTACGAAGCCCGAACGGCATGCGTCGAAACTGGAATAGGCCCTTGTGGGTCCGAAACGCGGTTTTCTCGATTTCTGACTCGGCTAGTTCTAGCTGCGTGAATCCCGAGAGAGCGTCCAACGACGATAGTACTTGAGAGCCCGACAGCGAGCTGAGGATCTCGGATTGGCGAGGGATAGGAAACTCATCGGGGATCGTGACCGCGTTGAGCTTGCGGTAATCTACGCAGAAGCGAGCCTTGCCGTTGCGGTAGACAATGACCACCGGGGCACTCCAAGGGCTCTTAGAGGGCTCGATAACCTTCTGTTGGAACCAGACGTCTAGTTGCTCTTCGATGACCTTCCTCTTCGCCGGAGATGTCCCATACATAGGTACAGCTATGGGGACTTGCCCATCCACCGTTCGTATATGGACTTTAGCGGGGTATTCCCCGAGTCGGCCATCGAAGGCAAATGCTCGCGCATTCTTGCTGAGCATGGCCCACGCTTTCTCCGTCAGATGAGGAGGCAGCTGCCCTACGTCCAGTACTTCCCGCATCTTTTCCAAAGGTATAACCTCCGGATCGGGACCTTCTGCTGTCTTCGGACCCCACTGGTCCTGTTCGTCTACGTCGTCTGGCCTCGCCGTGCTTCCTTCCCCTACTGTCGCATTTGCTGAGTCGGCAGGGGTGGTGACGTCGACCTCTGGCTCCTTTCGTGGACGCGGGTAGTCGCTCGCCCCCCCGTCACCGGCCTGCAGCGAAGCGAAATGCGCTTCGGCGAGCAAGCGGACGCGATCAGCGCAAGCCGACATCTCTTCCAAGCGCTCGGGGCTGACTGGGCTGTCCAAGAATGCCGAGGGATCCTCCAGACGGCCAACGACAGTCCCTTGGCGCAAGCGCAACGCGCGGGCAGAGGGGTTCGCGACGCAGACATACGGGAAGTCCCGATCGAGGAGCGTATTAGGCACCGTGAAATCCGGCCCGCGAGGACCTGCTAGGAACCCAGCCTCCAACATCCAAGTGCGGTCGTCCTTGAACGGAGCGTCGACGCGCACACGGCGGGATGTGAAAGCCGGAATCTTAACGCCGGCCGCCACGCGCGCAAGCCGGTGAGTAGAACGCGGAATGCCGCCCTTCGCGTTGTTCTTCGCGTTCTGATCCCGCTGAGCCTGACGCTCCGCCGCCAGCAGCAAACCGTATTTCGACGGTGGCCAGTGGACGGATGGAACTTCGCCCAGCAACGCGGAATCGCGACCGAGGTCGACGGGAGCGGCCGCCACTTCAAAGTCCAACTCGGGGAACACGATCCGAGGGATGCCCCCAGCACGCGAGACACCGAGATTGTACAAGAGTTGAAAGTCCTCGCCCAACAGCAGCGGAACCGTCATGTTGCGCACGACGTACACCTCAAGCTCGAACTCCAACAGCTCGCCTGTGGTAGCGTGCATGAACACGGGCAGTGACACGTATCCCAGAATGGTCGCCTTCTCCGACGTTAACTGCAAGAGACGGAGCTTCGTGCCCTTCAATAAACGAGGCGCAGCCTCGCCCAGCGCGCGGTATGACCGCTCGCTAAGCAAGGAAATATTCGCGCCCGAATCAAGCCGAAGGTTGAGCTCGAGACCATCACGCGCACCGAGTACGCCGGGCACGTTCAGAACGGAAACCCCTTCCGAAGCGCGGCCCGGCTGCACGTCCTTACAGCGAGGCATGCGTATGGAACCGACAGGGCGGGTGGGGCTTGGGTACAGAGGAGGTTCGAAATACGGATGATCGGCGGGGTGGTGGTCTAACGGCGGAGTGTCGACACGCATCACTTCCTTCGCGTCAGCAGTAGATGCCTCGCATTCGAGCAACTCGTCGCGATGAACTAGCAATGCAGTGTACCAATCCGGCAGCGGCGCGGAGACGCGTACGTCGACCTCCGGAACGTCTTCAATTGTCACACCTCGGGGCCGTCGTTCGCGATCACACTGTCCTTCTTGGAGAGCGGCCAAGCCAGCTTCCAAGGAAGGAACATCGATATACGAGTCACGAATCATAGCATCAACTACTGCCTGGTATACGTATGAGATAAGCTCTTCGTTCTTAGCGTCTTGGTCGCTCCACTCCACCGTATTAGCCTGTCTCCTCGCTTTAAACAAATCCCAGTTCGGGCACTCGTTGTTCCAATGCATAGGGCTTCCACACGCGCGGCAGGGACCCGGCGGGGGTCTTTTATTTGACTTTACCGCATCGTTACGAGGAAAGGGGTATCCACCTGGCGGAGGCTTCCACTCGCGCTTCTTGGCAGCCGCATACGCGTCTCTGGCTTCGCCATCGAGATCGTCCAGGTCCTCCTCGTCGACGGTATCACCGTCCGCGAGATTAGCCTGGCGACTGAAGCCCGAACGTGGTCGAGAATTTGAGGATCGCCCATAAGTACGCAGAGCGTCCCATATCTCCTTCCGCACATCCGATCTTGACAAAGCGAGCCTATCCCCGCCTCCGTTCTCGACTTGCCACGAAGCCAGCAAGGTGCGCTCGTTATGCATAACACGAGTAAGGAAATCCTTCGTGTGCTCCAGATTAGCGGTGGCGAGCTGCGCGCTCCACGCGACTGGGCATCCGACCATGAGTGTCTCGATCTCCGACCGACTTTCATACGCTTCGATGAAGATCATGCGTTTGAAGTTCAGGCGGCGCAGGAAGTACGTGTAGGGACCTTCATTCTCGTTGCCTTTGCCGCTGCGGAACGACATGTGCTGATAAGCGACGCGCTGTTTGTCGACCCACCAAGAGGGGATGAGGCCTTCCTTGATAACGTTCATGAATTGCTCAATGCTCTGCCCCGCACGCTCGCGGACGTCGTTCGGTTGCACCGTCCACCACAGACGGGCACGAGAGTCCCGTACGAATTGTCCAGGGAGAAAGGGTAACATTTCCCTGGCGATGCGAGGACCGAGCTGAACGTATTCCAGGAGTTCACGGAAATACGGTAGGACCGACTCCGGTTCACCATCCCATGAAGGCAGCTTATCCGGCGCGATCGAGTTCTTGATGTGTGGCTCTTGCGGGTCATAACGGTTGTCGTTCGCAGGCGGCAGCGCGGCATTATTAGCAGGGTTGGGCGGTCCACCGCCACCGCCACCGCCTCCGGGACCATAAGGAGGACCAGGTGGAGGAGCACCTCCTCCCGGGCCTGCCCCTGGATTAGGCGGGATAGGTGGGACGGGATATCCGCCGCCTCCCGGGCCACCAGGACCACCAGGGCCCCCAGGACCGCCAGGGCCACCAGGACCACCGCCGCCGCTTCCGCCAGGGCCACCGCCGCCTCCGTAAGGGTTGCCGCCCCCCGGTGTGCCACCGGGAAGGCCGCCGCCGCCGTTGGGACTACCTCCTGGGGGTCCACCATTCGGTGGTCCTCCGGCGGGCGGGTGAGCCTGCGAAGTAGCGGTGACAGAAGCAGTGGCCGAATCCAGCGATTGAAACGGCGCCCCCCAACCTCCGGGAACGAATCCTGGTGTAGCGTACGACGCGCGCCCGTGATTGGCAAAGGGCTGAAGGTGCATCGACGCGTCGTAGGGAGCTTGAGGGATCGATGGGGCCGTACTACCATTCGCCGACCAGCTGTACGAGTCGGACGGGGGCGGTAGGGAGAGATGCGGAGGAGAACCGCGCCCCGCTGAACTCTCGATTTTCGAGACCACGCGGTCAGCCTCCAAGCGGACGTGGTTCTGCAGAGCCCAGTCGGCCGGCGGAGCGTAACGAGCAGGATCCCCAATCGGGTGTAGAAGGCCTTCGAGGCCTAAGCCCGTCAAACGCCCTCGTTGAGCTGGACGGGGCATCGCTGGCAAAGGCGGCAAGGTATAACCTTCCGTTACTTCGCTCGCGACACGATGATCGACTGTGGCAGGAGGCAGCAAGATACTCGGAGCCGCTTCTCCTCGAGGGGTGTGTAATAGTTCGGTGCTGGATGATAGCGCAAGCGACGGGTCGGCTTCCGCGGCCATCGTGGGCGTACTCTGGGCGGCTAAACCCTGGAAGGGGTCGAACGTGGCGTCGCCCATACTGACCGTGTAAGAGACCGTGGTGTTCTGAGCTGGAGCCGTCGAGAGAGGAGCGGTATGACCGCCCCCCATCCGATTGGACTGGCGGTAGCGAGCCAGATAGAGAGCGCGGAGTTGCGAGAAGTCGTCGGTATTCGGCTCCGAGGCAAGACCGTATAAGGATTGAGCCGGAGTCGCGGCTTCAGGCACCTTCTGATAAAGGCGAGCATAATAGTCCACGAACTGCATCGCAGTTCGGAGACGAGACTGCGCAATAGTGTACCACTCCCGAATCTCGTCAGGCGTAGAGCAGCCTTCGCCGAGACTGTGAATGATGACCCGACGTTCGTCCACCGTGAACGCGGGCGGAGCTTTCGAGTCCCCTGTCGTGATGGTCGCCAAGTCGTTGAGAATCTTCTGGAGCTCATACATCGCTCTGAAGATATGCTGAACAAGTGAGGATTCCACGATGTAGCGAGCGGCCCGACCGCGCATCGAGACGTTGAGGACGCGCTCAGCAGGCAGGGCGTGGCTGAGGATGGTCCTGACTCGGTCGCGTAGAGACGGTTGGCGCCCAATCGGGTCAGCGCTGTCCACGACTCGAAGTACGGCAGCGACTAGATCCGACGCGGTTTTTGACTTTTCGACCGAAGAGGGTAGGGGCGCGGCCGGGGCGAAGACGGATATATCAGGTACGGGGGTGCGAGGAAGAGGGCGCAAGGGCGGCTGAGCCGGGAATGGGGCAACAGCCGTCGATCCCGCGGCAGGCGCGTTCGCGTTCGGTGACTCGAAAAGTTGGGAATGAGCGGGCGGATTCGGGGGAGCCGAGTGCGAAGGGGCCAAGGGAATATCCCCCGGCGCCGCGACGACGGGCGACCCAGTAGAGTGGTATGTAGAATTATTTTGGTTCGCCCCAGCAGGCGTAACGCCTCGAGAGTGCTGGGCGGACATGTCGCGCTACCGGCTGTAGGGAACTGCTAATTTCCGGATGTGTCCACCTCTGTGACGCCCGATACAGGCGGGAGGTCGAATAGCAGGGAGCTACAGCGGGTAGAGGGCTAACGGAGGTGGCTACGCCTAGTAGCGCCAGCTCACGAGCGTCAGCGAAGGGGGCGGGCGCGCTTCTCGTAGTGCGAACTGCCTCGCGCGACTCGCTGTCGATTATAGAGAGACGAGGACGGGGCGGAAGTGCCGCCGCGTGCTCGTCGCTCGGGCGACGGTAAGAGTATACGAGAAAGAGGAAAATATAAGAGATGAGTAAAGAGAGTGGAAAAATGAGTAGATTGTAGTATGCTGCTAAGCTAGGATACAAGCGAACGAAAGAGGACCGCGCCTCGGTTCTACCCGAGACTCCTTCCCACGGTGTCTTGCCCCTGGCGGGTCACANCCTCGGTTCTACCCGAGACTCCTTCCCACGGTGTCTTGCCCCTGGCGGGTCACAACCCGTTTGCCTGAGTTTGCTCGAGGCTCAGGCATGTATGGCTAGAGTTTACGTATGTCTTGGGCAGCTTCAGACTGCTGAGACGATTATGCAGTCTATCGATCAGATCGCTATGGACGAGAATGGCTGGATCGTCACAAAGGCGGCTTACTTCGAGGTCTTAGGAGAGATTCACGCTGCGCAAGGCGAACCAGAAAGAGCAGAACAAGACTTCATGTCTTCGCTCAAGATCTCGGATGAACTGGGTCTGATCCTGGGCAGGGCCAATCTCTTCCTGAGACTGGGTTGCTTACTGTACCGTGACACCGAGTCCGATATATATGACCATGCAGAGCAGATGCTGCAGACCGCCACGTCGATATACGAGTCAATCGGAGCAAGAACGGGCGTAGCGATGTGCTGTAGGGAGCTCGGGGAGATGCATTTGAAATTGGGCCATCTCTCCGAAGCCGGAGATTATCTTCAATCCGCAATGCCGCTTGATTCGCTCGAGGTTCCTCTGAACAGCGTCCTCCTATCGAACTCCCTAGGGAACCTCTACTATCTTCTCGGGAGCTACGATGAAGCTCAGAATCAGCTGAACTCCGCTATCGAGATATCTTCGCGGATACCCTACCCTCTCGGACACGGCGAGGCGTTCTTCTGCCTCGGGAAAGTGCATCGCGAGCGCGGCGAGCTTCAAGATGCGCTGCACTGCTTCAGACAAGCAATCACGAAGTTCAGACAGGCTGAGGACCCTCTGAAGGCAGACTCGGTCGGTTCTGAGATGGAGAAGCTTATCGAGAGTCTGCGAGCGGAAGAGGGGTACAATTCGCCGGTATCGACGGAGGGCAGTATGCATTCGGCCCGCTCACGCTTGTCGAGCGAAGCCAGCGACGACGAAGCCAGTGACGATGACGGGGACCATAGTGAGGATAATGAGCAGGACGTCAGGGCTAGGGGTGATGGGGAGGGAGCGAACTCAGTAGCAGAATCAGAACGCAGCAGCACTGGTGAAGATGCCGCGGGGAGGGTATATCGTAGCGAATAGACAGATGATTATGACCTTGATAAGCCTGCCGCCTTTTCAATACTGTGTCATTTCGAGCTGTCACACAGTCTGAGAGCATGGCGCATGAGCGTCTGAGCTATCATATATTCATGCAGATGGACGCAAGAGCTGAGGCTGCTGAGCGGCGCGAACAGCCGAGCGTGGAACTGTGGAAAGCCGGCCCGGAAATAAGGCCGAAGTAGCCGTGCGGGCGTGATGCGCGCGCGCATGTTCTGCTCCCAACGGCGACGATGGTCTCTCCGCGCATATTCCATTCCTTCTTACTGCCCGATACGGATCCCCATGGGATGCGGTATGAGCCGAGACCGACGGACCAGACTTTCATGGCTACTACATGATAAGCAATCACCGCACAGCGCTCAGAAGCTGCACAGACGGCTAGCTGCACCTACGGGAGTCAAACGACCGTCGGGATTCTTTACTCGGTCAATATAGGACTGAGGATACAAGGAAGCAGCTCTCCACTCTATCTGTGCTATGGTTCATCTGCTCTCGAAGTCGAACGCCTTGGAACAGATCGACGCGCATGCTCAAGAACCCCGGGCTGTGATACCAGTACAGTGAGCATTCACGCACTTTGCGGAAGCTGAAGCTAACTATACTACTCAGATCTTAAAACTAGTCGTCAAATCAGCTAGTAACCCGACGGCTGCTCGTTCACTTCGGCAAGACTTTCAGGCGCCCCTTGTTCACTCTACCCTGTGCGTAACTAGGGTGTCATTCCCGTGAATGGCGCGCTCGGGGCGAAGGGTGATGAGAAGCGCGCCGTATCTCAGCAGTCTCGCAATGCGCAGCCCTACATTGCAGTGCCGCGCCTTTATCGAAGGCCTCGTTAAACGGCTATAAGTACCAGCCTTGTACGGCGACCGACCACCATCCTTCACTCATTTCCTTCTCAAGTGTATTCCTCTCACTTTTGCACATTCGCCATCTCCTTTCGTTTCTTTTCAGTCCTTCCCGCAGCATGCCGAACGCATACAGTGCGTCGACCTATCTACCTCTTCAAGCTGCTTGATCTCACAGTCACTCTGGACGTTACCGATGTCAATAACCTGCCACCCGGTGTGACGGTCGACGACGTCTCCCCGTACGGCTATGTACCTACCAAAGCCAGTTGTTTTATCTTCCTCTTCTTGTTCGGCTTCAGCACAGGTGAGTATGTCATGCCAACTGGCGAGCCATGCGCTCATCTTCTCGACAGCGACCCACGTGATACAGGCGATGTACTTCAAGCTATGGTTCCTCCTTCCAACTGCCGTACTCTGCGGTGTCGGAGAGCTCGCGGGTTGGACCGGCAGGCTCATGTCTTCGAACAACGTTCTCAACCATAATGGATTCCTCATACAGTACGTGCATTGAAATACGTTCTTTTTGGCTGCCTAACGATACTCAGAATCACGTCTACTATCATTGCGCCAACTCCGTGTGTCAACTTTCATGTGGATCCTCGCGCTCGTGACTGACAAACCTCCCAGATTACTCGCCGCCAACTTCATAATGCTCGGAAGGATCATTGGGAGGCTCGGGGAAGGATACAGCCGTCTGAGCCAGCAGTGGTGTGAGTCGTCTCTCGTACATGTCCGCCTTCAAGCGGCACTTAACGCTCTTCCAGACTCCCGCATCTTCTTGACGTGCGATCTGGTGGCTTTGGTCATGCAGGGCGTCGGCGGCGGCATCGCATCAAGCGCCAAAACCGACTCGGGCTCCAATCTTGTGCGTGAAACGGCTCAGCTCTCCAACCCCGCGCTTATCTAATCTACAGGGATCGAACATAATGCTTGTCGGCATCATCTTCCAACTAGTGGGCATCATAGTCTATACCACTCTCGCGGCCGAGTTCCTATGGCACTACGCCCAGGACATGCCCTTCCGCCGCGCGTACGTGTACATGCACCGCTCGAAGACGCCTCGCCGCCTCAAGATCATGCTTATGGGCATGAGTGCCATGACCATTCTCCTCTTCATCCGGTCGATCTACCGCACTGCTGAGCTCGCGGACGGCTGGCACGGGACGATCATCACGACTGAGTGGCTCTTCGGTGCGTGCCGCGTTCGATGTGTCGCCTTGACGATAGCCTGACGCCGGATATGTAGATGTCTTCGACGCTTTGATGATATCATCTGCTATGCTCACCCTCAATGTGATCCATCCTGGGTTCTTCCTTGTACCTGAGGAGAATCCCGTCGAGCTCTCCACATACAGAATGGACCCCAAGGCGAGCTCGGCGTCTACCGACAATATGCTGGAGCACTCGGGCCACGGCAGCATGGTGACTGTCTGATTACTGTGGCTCGCGCCGACTTCCCACATGTATCATCTCTATCTGATACGTCTTCACTGTCATATCTTCTATCGAGGTCCGAACGACTTCTGAGGCACGGACTTTTAGCCTGCAGTGTTCATTACTGTATTCGTTTTACCTTCTACTGAGTTACAGTCGATCTTACCCTTCAATATTCGAAGTACACTGCATTTCAAGTTACCGGAAGGGTCTACAGAGTGGCTCTACAGTATAACATATGCCCGATCTACACTTCACCGCTATTCAGATCGTCATCCTCATCGTCCAAATCATCGGCCACCTCTCCTTCTCCCCGTAGAAGCGGCTCTACGACGTGCTCTCGCAGTATATGCTGCTCGAAGCAGGACACCAATAGTGTGGCACCACATCCAAACCAGTCGCACGTTTGCGTTTCTGCCCCCCACTCAGCTTCCAGCGTATGCGCGAGCGCGAAGTGTGCGCGCGCTGAAGCCGCATCGAATAGTGGTTCGCCGCAAGTATCTGTCAGCCCGCAGGGGATGAACGAGCGCTCATCGTCTCGCCTCTCGAGACCTTCGTTTGCTGGACGGGTCGAACTCTCAATCGCGAGCTCAGAGTCAAAGAGCGCTGGTAGGCCATCCAACGGGCTTCGCGCCCTCTCATCCCTATCCCTCGCCACAGAGATGCGATGCTCGACGTCCGCACATGCACTCTCATACGGAGCCACGGCTGCCCGCGTTGCGCGTTCGAGGAGGCTCGGTACTTCGCTCGTATCCGCGCCGGGATGCATGTAGCTGGATTGACTGATGATGTCTTCGCCTGCAGCTTGAGCTTGCACGCATGCGTTCTGCAGCGTCTTGTGCGCGCAGAGCTCTTGATAGAAGAGAGGCTCGCCGTCTACATCTTCGGATGTGGAATAGAGGTCCATGCTCGTAGACGAAGATGAACCCTGTCGGGTCAAAGGTGTTGTCGAGGTGCTTGTGGTTGAGAGCGCTCGCGCGACTCTGGTCTCAATGAAACCAGCGAGGATATCTTCTGTCAATGGAACGTCGAGAGCCTGGGGTGGGTTCTCTTCGGCATGTTGATGAGGGGAAGGTTGTATGAGCAGGGGGTGAAGAGACGCCGGAAGGTCGCTGTAGATTGCGCGCGCGTAGATCGCCGGCGATGATGTGCGCGAGTGCTGGTGGGCGAGTGTCTGCGTTTGCGCTGGATCACTTGATGAAGAAGGGGTAGGAGAATGCATATGTTCAGGTGCGAGAGGACAGATAGCGATACGATGGGAGGTGGTGGGCGCGTTGCTGACCGCCTGCGAAGCGATTGTGGTTATATCGACGACGTTGTGGAACGGCTTGACTTCCCTAACGCTCTCCTTATCTTCCTCTACACAGATCCGTTTGCGCTTGTGAAGGAAGACCGAGGGAATAGATGGGTCGACCTGAACGCTCTGCACAGGGGAGTTGGAAGGCGAGCTGAAGAGGATGTGAGTCTGAGTACAATGAAGTAGGCAGAACGAGTGCGTACGACATGACTGTTGTAGCCAAGATAGCGACTGAAGCACCTGCTAGTATGAAACAGACCGGAAATCAACAAAGGTGCAAAGGAGCGATGAAGGCGAAAGAGAACCATACAAAGGCCTTATACGAACCCTGCCCTTTCCCGGTGTGGTTGATGGGGTAGCGGGCACGTGAGTTGCAAAGAATGGATCCTGAGGATATAGTAGGATTGCGCAGCTCTGCTCAAGATGGAGGGTCCTGCCAAACTATCCGTCTCGAGAGGGCGTTGGTCACCAGTAGTGATAGAAGAATAGGTACGTAGTACCGGATCTTCGTTTGTGATCACTCGACGCGTACGTTCCTAGAAATCGCAGCTTCTCTTATACAAGATGGGATACAAGGTGCAGTATAGTATACAGAGAGGATTGTAGCAGCGTGTCTGGGCTTCCTAGGCCGATCGCGAGCGTTTGGGAGTGCAATAGATGTTAGACCAGAGGCTCGGCGAGTGGGCTAAGCGAGCTTGAGGCCCCAGTATCGCGGTATGGTATAGGGTACATGATGCCTGTCAGAGGGTAGACGTCAGATCTGCTGAAGACATGTTGTAGCGAATATACATACCTGCGGGCAGGCCAGTCCTACTTTCCATGAAAACTTGAGTACCCGAAGTATCATGCTGTCCTCCGAGCATTGTATATCCCTAGAGCGTCGGATAGCTGTCTGCTGTACCCCTGTGAGGGGCGTTCATTTACTCCGCGCACGAGAGCCAGGCTCTATTTGACTCAGGCGAGCTGGCCTTTGGCGACCAGTAGGAAGAACCCTTGGTGTCCCCGGATAGGGTGATACGGCGCGGTAGCACGATGTATCGTGATACGAGATAGAGACGCAGTCTGCGCCATGTAGCAAATTCTTCGATAGAATCCCGAAGGAGAACAATGGCGTTCAAAAGAGAGACAGCAGACATCCGTGCCGCCATCCGCAGCCGTTGTCCGTCGTCGTGGGAAGGAAGCGGACCTTCGGCGCAAAACCCCGAGCACCAGCCTGTTCTCGCTCCACCATCTGCACACCGATGCAACTTGCTCGCCTCGGGCATTCCCCGGATACTATCAAAACACCTCTGTCTCATGATGAAACGAACTACGAGTCTTGACTTGGGGCAGACTCACCTTTGTGCATAGTGGGTTGATATTTCCATCGCGGTGCACAAAGGCCTACACGCGTGTGAGCGGTCTCATCGTACGCCACGAGTTTGTACGTCAAGGAGTCTCTTTGGCAGATCGCAACATGGACGCTTGTGTGAAGGCTCTTCGGGACTCGGGAGCCTTCCCATCTGAGATTAGGCTTGGGATGCGTGCACAGAGGTCGTCTATGGGGCATGGCGTCGCACTGTTTGGACAGTATTATCCGTTCAAGGATCCTGCCCTCGAGTAAGGTCCCCCAAGGCCTCTCAGGACCGGATGTTGGCTCTTATTCTGATGTGCTGTGCGCTGATACCACTGAACATGCCTCGTTGGGTTGGGATGTTCATCAGAATTAGCCTACGTGCACCTCGGCCGGTAGGCGCCAAACGGACCGAGTGCATCTTGCGCCTTGTCTCATTTCCGGAGCCGCCTTCAATATAGCTTCTGGATAGCACGTACGCGGTAGGAAGGCCTTGAGGCAGGTGTGAGAGCCGCACGCACAGCGCTCGGGTCGCGTTTCATGGTTGTTCTTCATACATACATAGCAAGGCTTCTGGCGGCGTTCTCTGTTGAACACCCCAATCCTCACACCGAGTCTCCTGTCATCTTTCTCGTCTCTACGCATCCTCTCCGCAAATATCGATTCTTGTCCTCCCTCGTTCCACTATCTCGCTGCCGGTCATGCCTCACATAGACGAATACGACGCGGAAGGCACACCGAGTTCCTCTCTTTCTCACCTGCGTACGTAATTGAGTGCCAATCAGTGAAGCGAATCTGATGCTTTGACACGCAGGAGTCAACGAGAACCTCAAGAACGATGTAATGGGAGCTGTTCGAGTGGCTGTTGATGCTTTAGGACTAGTTGCGGACATTACGCAAACTGTCCCCTATCTGGGTGCCATTTCGAAGGCTCTAACGGAGTTTCTCAAGATTCAGAATGTGCGTCCTGATACGCAAAGTTATGAGCAATCATTGACTAACAGTTGTTTAGGAAGTCAGCACTCTCAAGTCGGACTGGAAGTCGGTCATGAAAGTGGCGCGCCAGATACAGTCTGTTATCGACAATATGCTCAAGCGATATGAGCAGGAAGGAATCAAGAGATTGCCCGAGAATCTCGTGGAACCTTTAGATAATCTCAAGAAGTACGTGGTGCTTCCAAACGTGGCTGGGACGACGGCTGATCTCTCATGGCAGATGCATCGAAGACTCAGTAAAAACACTAAGCGCGTGCAGAGTCGGGTCTAAGCGCCGCCGAGACCGGGTCCACGTCTTGCTTAACCGGGATGACCTTTCGGGTGACATCAAGCAATGCAGCGACGACATGAAGTCTGCGTTGGAACTCTTCAATGTATGTTCTAGTACTCTTGGTTCCTCTGCCTAGTATCTCAAGGGCTCGTAGACCCAAGTCAACTGGGATACCAATGCACTAGTGAGAGCTGGCTCTCATGGGGAACGGAGCGTACGTCATCTCTGTGCGGTCATTGGCCGAGTTCTGATCTAAAGGGATGAACAGCTCTCGACTGGTGATTGCCACATACCGTAAACCGTCTTACTCGTTCACTGTAGGGACTTCACTAACATCGACACTCAGGCTGTCCGCGAAGCTTCGACCTCCGCCTACCCACTTCTATGGTCGTGAGATGGAGGTTGCCGAGATTTTGCCGCTTATCCGCAAACGTCACTCTCATGTGGCTATACTGGGTTCGGGCGGCATCGGAAAGACCTCCATTGCCCTCAAAGTCCTGCACGATCCCGTTGTCGCAACCATCTATTCAGAATGGCGCGTCTTCGTCCCGTGCGAGGCAATTCTGTCCGCGGAGGGCATAGTTTTTGCGTTACTTGCGGCGTTCAATCTCGTTTATGATGCGAAGACATCAGGAAAACGCCTAGGTGCTCACCGGTGCTAATCGGCCGCTCAGCGGCCGCTCATGACGAAAGTGCTCGTGCGCACTCATTCGGACTCATTCGCGATCATTACTCGCGGGAGCTCCGCGGGGGAGATGTCGTGCACTTGGGCCGTAATTAATAGAAAAATGATTTCTTACCTGTACTGGGTTGTTTGTACCGCTAGTGAGGTACTGCTACTTGCGCCAATCATGTATCAACCTGTGCATCGAGTTCGTGTAGGTATAGTTGTACAAATGATGACGATAGTAGTATAAGAGACTATGTAAGCTATAGTACAGCCGTGAATAGAGACGATGATGATAACGATGAGTGGAGGGGGTGGGAGTCCGAGACACGATAGCGAGAACAGGAGCGATAGATGGGTGGGAGAGGTGAGAACGGCGGCAATGGAAGATGATGGGCGTGACAGCCTCCGAGTCGTTGATGTTTGTGGCGGCGCAATGGGCGATATGACGAGAGTGACGCAGAAGGCATGTAGCGCCATCACGACTGTCAAGAGATTAGTGACGGGTCCGGTGTCTATGAAGTAGTTGACATACCACTAATCCTCGTCTTCGAGTTCTTGCTCGCCCATGAGATCCCACTCTTCCTCGAACCTCTCCGTCATTCCCTCCTCTCCCGGCGCCCCACGCTCTTCCTCGCGCTTCTTGCGTTCCTCCTCGCGACACAAGCCACACTGGTGAAAGTCGCCGCGTGGACGATCGAGGAACTCGATGGGCCACTGCTTCAACGAGCTGAGTGATGTGAGCATGTAGCGCAGCATCAGGTGGTCCTCGAGCGACTCCTCCCGTTCCGGCGTGAGCGGCTGGAACGGGTTGACGTCGCGCAAGAGATTGCCCAATGCCCACGCATCCCAGGCCTGTGCCTCGTGGGTGCGCTTGCGCATGTACGCATCTAGTTGTTCGCGGCCCTTCGCCGCGGCGAGCAACTTCGCGAATGCCTTCAACCATCGGCGCCGGTCATTGACGTTGAGCGTATCAGGCGCCCACAGTGCCGGCCACCCGTCTTCGTTGATCGGGCGTCGGAGCATGGCGACGTCCCGCGCAGCATTGAGCGCCGGGTGGCTGTTGTCGCGGTCGAGGTCCATGAAGTCGGGCGTGCGATGTGTTCCGCCGTCATCGCTGAGCTCGGGGATGCCGGCCGCGTCCAGGCTCTCCCGCGTCGCCATGCTGCACAAGACGAAGAGCACCTGCCACTGGTTGATCGAGTAGCACAGGCTCGCTTGAAGCTGCTCGTCCTTGTGCAGCAATTCGACTGTTGCTTCGTGCCCACAAGGTAGCTTGCCCCACGGGCGTTGCGCTTCGGGCAACTTGCGTAGGCGCTCGAATTCGCGACCAGCCAATAGCGTGTGCTTATTGATCTTGCCGCCGCCCTCCGCCCAAAAGTCCTCCTTCGCCACCACCTTAGCGCCGAACTTGCGCCAGCCCCTCGAACCAAAACGCGTGTAGCGCTTGTCGGTGCGCCCGAACTTGATGCGAAGCAGGAGGATCGGTAATGTGTGCACGACGTTCACGAGAATGCGCGCTGTCCGAAGCGGGTCGTCGCTAGCGATGAGGTGAACTGGAGGCAGGAAGGTCCATAAGGAACCTTCACCCTGGCCGTCCACCACGCTGAGTCTAGCATGCGATAGGACCTGGCCCTCCGCGAGCGAGTACGGCGCATAGACGGTGGGGAGCCACTTTTGTCGGGGTTTCGCCAGCCGGTCGAACTGGCGGCGGAATGCGGGCGATACACTGGCGTATAGTGCGTATCTCTCACGCGACGTGCCGACATCGCGTTGCCTGCGATGGAACTTATCGTCTCGGCGCTCTTCCTGAACCTCCCGCGCCAGCTTGATGCGTTTATTGTCTGAAGAAAAAGTCAGACATAACGATATGCTCGGATATAAGCGAATACGTACGCTGCTCGATGTGATCGCTCTTGCGCTTACGAGCCTCCACCACATCAGCTGGTTGAAAGGTATCCTCGGACTCTTCACGAGGCGCGTACCCGCGCGCCTGAAGCTCGAACACATCCCATCGCGCATGCAGGGGCGGGTACCAGGAGAAGGGAAGCGTCTTTTGGCGGATCGTAGCTATAGTGATTCATGTGAGCGATATACTAGTGAGGAGTAAGAGACGATGCGTACACAGCTTGATATTGATCTTGTCCGAGCAACGTAGCCGATCAGGCTTGCTGAGCTTGACGCCAGCAAGAACGCCGGGGTCCAGATCCTCGCGCGCGATGTTGACGTATGTAGGCGCACGTAGCTTTCGATAAAGCGCGTGATACGTTATGATATCCTCGCCCGCGAAGATAGCGCCTCGGCGAGGGGACGGCCCGAGACTGAGTCGGCGGAAGAGGCAGTGGTTTGGGCGTTCACGAACGACGGGCTCGAGGAACGCGGCGATCATGTCGAGCCACGCGTCTATCTCGAGAGCACAACGTTGATAGACGCGGTGGCACGTCTCGTATTCGCTGCTCGTAAGGAGACCGAAAAAGTGCATACGCCCCCAGGACTTCCACATCGTCGAGACGATTGTGTCCGGGAGCCGCATCTTCTGGATGGCCCGTAATGCAACGTCGTCCTCCTTCAACTTGTCCCGGCGGAGCACTTCCCGTACAAGGCTGACGGCCTCCTCGTAATCGTCCTTGAGGTCGTGCACACGCATTCTCTCCACATCGTGGGTCTTCTGGCGCGAGAAGTATCCGACCTTTATCAGCTCCTCCGACATATCCTCCTCCCCCCTCTTCTGCCGCAGCTCCCGCTGGACAGCAACCGGCAACAACCTCTCCTCATCCCAGTCCTCCGGCCAAGCCGCTCGAAATTCGTCGGCATCCTCGCGTCCGGGCCGCGGCACGCGTGCAAAGAGCATTTGCGGGGAGCTCTCGTCGTACGGTGTGGGTTGCCGAATGTATTCGAATCGATGGAATAGCCCGTCGTCGGCAACCTCGCCCGCGAAGACTTCTTTGCCGGGATACGGCGGGAGGTACTGTGTGTCGTATGCGAAGATGATGGAATCCTCCCACTCGGTCGCGTGCGTGTACCCGGGCGGTATAGACTGCCTGGGCCGAGGCTGTGGTTCAGCGACCGGGTGGGAGGGATTAGGACCAGAGCCGTTGGAGCTCGACGCCGCAGAGTGAGTCGAAGCTGAGGCTGTGGCGTTCGGCGCCTGCACGGGTGTGGCTGCGGGCTCGGTTGGGCTTTTCTTCTTGTTGAACTTGGGCAGAGCCCGCTTCGGCCTCGCCACGGGCGCAGAGCTAGTCGCACTGGCGGGCACAGGGGGTGGGCCCATGTTGGTACGACCAGCCGCAGGTGCTGTGGGCGCTGGAGGCTGTGGCGGCGCGAGCGCGTTCGGTGCTGGTGCCGATCCACCGGATGGACGCGAGGCCTTGCTCATGGTGCTGATTCGTCTACGCCGCAGGGATAGACCCGAGCGACGGTCTTGATGTGCGAGAACCGCGTAGCGCCAATCGCGTACAGCAGGGATAGACCCGAGCAATACGTGTTGACACCAGACGGTGAGTGGCTCTGCAGTGTAAAGGCGGTCAGTTAGTCGCCCGGGCAGGTGAAGGTGAAGGTGGAGGAGATAGAGGGTGGCGGGCGAGAGCGGATTGTGGAAGATGGTGGTTAGAATCGAATAGACGCGGCGCTGCCGCGCAAATGCGAGCGCACATCGGTTCCCACGCGCTTGCGAGCGCGTATTCTGAAGCGTTTAAGTCTGGTATGCTCGAAATGATAAATGTGTTCATGTATGCTAAAAAATATATTACACATACATTGCACTGATCTATATACACGATAAAAAGCAGTGAAATACATGAAGGGCAGTCATATGAGGGTGACGTAGGCATGCTTGTCCGAGAAAGGGTTAAGGTAGAACTCGCCACAGACTTCCAATACGTTGTCGGCGCTCCACGTCGGGTTCAGAGAAGCACCGAAACGGGGGAAGAGGGAGACGCTGCGACGGATGCGATCGATTGGGAGGATGGAGACGAGGCGTTCTTGCTGTAGGATCTCGCGTTTGATGCGGTAGAGGTCGATGTCCTTGTCGGGGCGGGATTTGAACGCGGAGAACCATTCGATATACGCGAGATGGGTGGGGACTTCTGCTGACCGAGCGCCAAAAACTCGTTCCCGTGCCTTCTCAGACAGGCTGAATATCAGCCGCACTTGTCCCACGCGGTATCCTAAGGGAGTATCAGCACTGGCGGTCTCGGGAACGTCAAGATAAACGCACCTTTTAAGCCCATATGCTTGCCCTCACCATACTCGTTAATCAACGCAGTATTGAACCTCCCCGTCACTTTCCTCCGCTGCGTGTCGCGATATGCCGGGCGTGCCGAGATGGAGTCGGGTATCTCCTGCACCAACTCCCCTTCGCGCTCCTGGGCGTCACCGTGCCAGAACTTCATCCGATGATATGCGCTGACCGAGCGGAATGGCGTGATCCAGCGGGCAGCAACGCGCGCCACTTGCTTATCCGACGACTTCGGGTTCAGTGTCTTGATGATCCATTCTTTTAACTTGGCCTCGAAGTCTTCAGCGCCGTACAAGAGCTCGGCTTTGGCGAAGGAGAGCGAGGGGACATTCGGGTAACGTGCGATCGTCCTTTTGAGCTTAGGTGCGCGAGGAAGTGGAGCGCGCGCCATGTTCTCGATGGACGGCCGCCCTTGCATCTGCCAATCGACGTAGGCTTGATGGGCGCGAATCTGTTCCCGGCGCTGCAACCATAGCGTCATTTGCGGGTATTCGTCCTTCCGGTTTGTAGCACGCCAGGCCATCTTCGCGTAGTCGATGTGTAGACGCTCGGAGTAAGACGTATTGAAGTTATCCGCGGTCCCGAGGAGCCTGGCCGATTCGAAGTAGTGGAACAACGCGTGGATCTTCGGTAGGTTGAAATGTTGGCGCGCTCCGGTGTCTTTGAAGATGGCCTTGTTGATATGGAATCGTTTGAGAGCGGCGCGCAAGGCGTCAAGCCTGGAGTCGGTCGCTTCCGGAAGCTGCGCGATGTAGACGAAGTCGAGAAGGCCGCGAACGGTGTTGTACATGCGCTTCTTGACGTATCCTCCAGGGATCGGTAGGTCGATGATGACGCCGAGCAAAACGCGGCATATATCTTGATGCTCTGTCCCCGAGACGCGGGACATGCCCGAAATGCCCTTGTTGAACTGGCGGAGTTGGTGATTCGCCGGCAGACACTTGAAACGCGCGTCGATTGCCTTGGCGCCGTAGACTTTCTTGATCCAGGATATCAAGTGTTTTACGACGCCTTGGTACAGCTGGTGCAAGATATCTGGGGGCAGCGCGAGGTAGATGTCGGTGTACGGGTAGTCCTTCCAGAATGGCTGGATCGGTTTGATGCCGGCGTCCTGACAAGCCTGCACGTATGCCGTGAGATCGCCGTCGTCCGGTTCAGCATCTGCCAGCGACAGCGCGTCCGCGATGGTGTCCAGGTTCCTCAACTCGCAGTGCGCCTGGGTGCCAAATTGCGATGGATCGATGGTACCCTTCGGACAGGTACCGTATTTGACGCCCGCGACGAGGATCTGTTCGGGATAGTCGCCCACATACGCTGCGAGAACTGGGTGACAGCGTCGCTTGATGCCATCGCCAGAAGCTAACACCACACCCTCCTTTGCGACCGCGCGCAGCGGCGCGAGCATGTCCCGTAGGCAATCGTGGAAGAGACCGGCCTGCGCACGCCGTCGCACATCGTCTCTCTTGATCCCGCTGAGGCGCGTGACAGGGAGGTAACCGATCAAAAGCTGGCCTTGAAGCGATGTCTTGCGCCGCAACTCCTTCGGTATGTTCCCGATCGTAAGATACACGGGATAGCATGACCGATTGCGGAAAAGGGTGAGCTGCGTCTTGTCCGAGGAGATGATCAGGGGGACCACGGTTGCGCCAGGTTTATCTTTCTCGATCTGATTCTACTCAACATGTCAGGAAATCGAACAAAGGTGACCGATAGAGCGAGACGCACCTGAATACGCCACCACCATCTTGCCGTATGCATGTCGGAGTATGCCCGTTCTTCTGTCTCCCCAGTCGCTGTGTCGACGATCGTGAAGTGCTTGACCGGTGCGTAAACCATGCTGCTCGCGAAGTCCGGCCGAGCGTAGAGATCGCGGAGAACCTCCAGGGAGTCGCGTGCGTACATCTCAAGCTTCTCTCCTCCGAGTTCGTAGGTGTGCCGCACAAAGTCCGGGCGCGGCGGGAGTTCCTCGTCCAAGATCTTGTTGAGCTTTTTGGCGGAATTGAACTGAAGGTTGAGGCGGTCCACCAGCTGAATTGAAAGCATAAGACGGGGCCCTAATAGGAAGACATGCCAAAGGAACTCACGGTGTCAATCTTCAGCAGCGCCGTCAACGCGTTAGCGCCGATATTATGGGCCTTCGACCAAGCAGCGATATCCCAGTCCAACTTGGCCGCAAACGGATGGTATGGGTTGTTGGGGGCGTTGTCGCCTACGATGAATGATTCGTAGTCCGAATACGGATCGCCTCCATCTCCCGGATTGATCGGTTCTCCCGCCCTGCCACCGTACATCTCAACACGTCGTTTCGGCGGGGGAGGTGGCGGCGGTGGCTGTCCTTCGGGTGCATCATCATCAGGCGCCAATTCTTCATCTTGAGGGTCTGGGGGCGGCAAGGAATCGTCCCGTGGCGGGGGTGTATGAGCGTCCTCTGGCGGCGGCGATTGACGGGGAGACGCGGGCGGGGGACTATTCTCCGGTGGCGGTAGCGGGTCATCGGCATCGTTGTTCACATCCGACAACCCTAGATAACCTAACATCTGGTCCAAAAGATCCATGTCTGCATTGGCGCCGTCCGCGCCGTCTGTATGAGGGCGGCCATCCTCCTCCTCCTCCTCTTCCTCCTCCTCCTCCTCCTCCTCCTCCTCCTCTTCCCCCTCCTCCTCCACATCTACACGTCCCGAGCCCCGCTTTCTCGCGCGTGCCAGCGCCTCATCCTCTGCACCCCAGCCCAAGGGATCGTCGTCGTCTACGGCATCTCCCTCACCAGCTGGTGGAACCACGAGATCGTCGGTAGCGTCGACGTCAGGCTCCTGATCGACTTCCATATCGTCTGGGAGAGGGTCGTCTACCTCCATAGAAGGCGCAGCACTGACGTCAGGCGGCGCCACGGTGATGGGAGGATCGAGCGAAGGGCCAGGATTAGGCGTCACAGACTCGGAGTTCGCAGCGTTTGAGTCCTTCGCCAGTTTCGCGAGACGTCGCTTATCCGCGGCGTAATCCGGCTTGCACGCGTTCTTCGTTGTCATCGTTCGGTGAGTATTGAGATGCCCCGCTTGCCGGAAGCCTGCGTGGCAGCCGGGGCAGAAGTAGCGATCACTTTCGCGTGTTTTGCGGGCAGCTAGTGAGGAGGTATTAGTGAAATTGAGTGTACACCAGCTTGAGACCGAATCGTACCTGTGCGAGCGCCTCCGAGCACGGATATGCGCACTTCAATTGTTGAATTATCCTCCATTCCCGCGAGTTCGAGTTGTTGCAAGGGGTGTAGCGGTATCGGGGGACCGCCGACGCTGCGGAAAAGGAGCATGTAGAGCGCCAAACGCGTCCCTTCTGCTCGCCGGGGAACCAAATGCCGCCTTTGCAGTTCCTGTAGCACCCATCCGGTTGTCTCGTTGAAGGGAATGCGTAGCAACACGCCCTTTTGAGAGACACCGCGTATAAAGACGTTGGCGGTAGGATGTCGGAGTTGTGCGCGAGTGAGCACTCGGCCGGGCAACGCAGGAGGGCGCCAATCACATCCGTGTCGTACGAGCTTGATCCACAGCACTGCGAGCGCCAGAAGTTCTATGCAGAACATGACACGAGTGCCGGGCAAATGGGGTAGGATGGGCGCCAGCCATAGTCCAAACACGTCCCTCGCATGGGCACCGTTGATGCGCAAGATCGCAGATGCGACCGGTATCAGTTGAGCGAGCAGGATGAGCCAGCAGAGGCGCAGATCCACCGTCCGCATTGTGGAACGGGGCAACGGTGCAGCGCAGAGTCCGATCGGCTGGTGGTTAAGAGGCCAGAGCGGCTCTGCCGAAAGCATCGGATGTCCTGTCGCCCTGGCGGAAGCGGATTTGGAGTCGATAATGCCCTCAAAAAGGCGAGAGCCGAGCTAAAAGACCAGATTGTCGTCAATATTCATGAACTGACACCCAAAGCGGGACTGCGTACGTGCGGGAGAGGGCGGGAATGTCCTAAACGTTCGATGCTTTTTTTTCCTTGCGTCGCCCTTTGCCCTCGTCGCCCATCTCCATCGACGCCTGTTCTTGCTATGGCCCGCCGCACACGCAACAGCCAAGCAACCACCGCCAGCGAGGCTGTCCCTCAGGACAGCTCATCGGCGCCGGCCAAGTCGACACGCAGCAAGAACACGACTAATGCTGTCGCCGCTGCGGCCAAGTCCCCCGCCGTAGCCTCGCACAAGCGCGCTCTCTCTGGTCCCAACGAGGATGTCCAGCCAGCCAAGAAGAAGCAGGCCCCTCCCCCTGAGGACAGCGACGACGAGGATGAGTTCGTCCCCGGCCCGCCCCCGATCCAGCGTCCCAAGCGCATCACCGCCGACAGCACCGACGAGGAACAGGACGAGCCCATGCCCGACGCCAAGGATGAAGAGGATGAAGAAGTCCCCGTCGAAGAAGACGAGTTCGACGAGGTCCCGAAGCCGGGTCGCTCCAAGAACGCCGCTAAGCTCCAGAAGCTCCTGGACGACGCCGTCAGTACTTACTCCTCTATTTCAACGACTCGATGCTGACTTACTTTACAGCTCGCAAGGAAAGTCGGCACGTCTCCGGTGCTCAGGCCTGGCGGCAAGGAAGCTCTTAAGCGCGTTCCTCCCAAGCGCGTTGCCGGGCCGGTGACCAAACTCGACGCCAAGATTGCCCTGTCCAAGCAGTTTGAGTCCTCCGAGGAAGACGATGTGGATGAGGATGAGGCCGAGAGCGTCACGCAGGCGCCTGCTCCCGCTGTGCAAGATCAGTCAGCGTCAGCGGCGTTGGCGTCCAAGGTGATTTTCCAGCTCACCTTCTTGACTACCTAATTAACGATCTTCTTTTCAGGGCAAGGCGCGCGAGGTCGTCCAGCCCGAGTCGTCCGATGACGATATCGTGCAGGACAGCGAGGAAGACGAGGAGGAGGATATTCCCCCGCCTGTAAAGAAGCCTAAGCGCGTGCTTCCTGCGTCGTGGACCGCCAACGCGAACAAGGTAAGATCAGTCAACTCACCTTATTTGATCGTGTCTGATCTCGTTTAGTCGTCGTCGAGCTCGATGGCGAGCTCCAAGGTAAGCCGCCCTTCTTGTCAGCGCGAGGCCCCGGCGGCCATATGCCTCCCAGGTTAGAACCGAGGGAGCGTGCCGGGTTCTCCGGTCCTGCGACTGGGCGCTGAGTCGACAGCGTTGGTTGGGGTCCTCGATGATCAGCACCCGCCGGGCACGCTCCTCCCAGGTTAAAACCGAGGGAGTGCTGTACTCCGTCGTTACGGGGCCAGTGGATGTACCTGCGATAAGGCATCGTTAGTGGTGGTAGCGGAAGAAGGCGTGTGTGGGCGCCACGCGTCAGACCACGCGTGCGCGCAGGCGTTCAGCGCTAAGTCACTCAACTTGTTTTGCGCCACCACCGCCTCCGCCTCCGCCTCCGCCCTCGCCCTCGCCCTCGCCCTCGCCGCCGTTGCCGCCCTCGCCGCGGTCCTCGCCGCGGCCCTCGCCATACATCACCCCCTTTTCCAAACAGCACCGCCTCCCACTAACACGCCTCGGCACTTTCCACGTCGCGATGCCCTCGGTTCTATACCTGGGCAGACGCTGGGGGTGTCGGGGGAACACCTACATCCGCCAATACGGCCCAGCATGTCAACACAGCACTATCCGGCTTGGGCGAGGGCACTGCGGCTGCGATCCGGTCTTCTCGGCTGGGTTAGAGTACATCTGCTGACTTGGTGCCACACCAGGCCTCCACCCCGCTCAAGGCCGCCGCCAAGGGCACCGGTCAACAGATCTCTGTCAAGAAGACCCCGGTATCCGCCAAGAAGGCTGTCGAGTCTAAGGTATGTTCTTCAGGACTCATCTACGTCGAAGACCGCTAACATAGATGTAGATCAAGACGTCGGCGATCAAGGCGCCCAAGTTCAAGAAGCCCGTTTACATCGAGATCGTGAGTAACTCATTCACTCGCGCTACCCTTATCCTGAGCGTACAATAGGCCGATTCCGACGAGGTTGATTCTACGGTATGCCTACTACGCTCTGCATCTGGGTGCCACTGACGCCTTCATCGTAGCCTGACGGATTAGAGGCCGAGTCGGATGACGACGAACCCCAAGTCCTTGATGAAGAGGACGTCGCCGCGCTCACGTCGCAGAAGCAGCAACAGTACCAGATCCTCTGCAACCACGAGGAGGGTTATCCTGCGGATAGGCGCATCGTCTACAGCCCGTCTACGCTCAAGGTCGACAAACTCAGCAATCAGACGTCCTCGGTCATCAAGGACATGCTCAGCGACTCATCCGGTGATGCGCTCATCCGCTCTACGGTCTTGGCCAAGGACACCGCCTTCCCCGGTCACAAGGCCGGTGTCGACACTTACCTGGAGAAGATCGCCAAGCCCGCCGTATTGTACACCATCAAGCAGGGCGGGGACAGGATGAAGCCCGCCGGTGAGCGCTTCCATACTGATGCCGGCTTCGAGCACGGCGTTCTCAACTACGTGCGTGGTTCACTCCCGGGGCTTAATGCATCACTGATACCTGTCGCAGGTCGGACGGCGCCGTTGCGCCAGTCGCAACACGTGCGCCACTCTCGCGCGCAAGATCGTACCTAGGAGGTACACTTTCATCCAACAATACGTCTTGTCCAACGATGAGAATGACAAGGAACGACTCCGCAATGCCATTCTGGCGCTTCTGAAGGATAGCGCTTTCGTCTACCCTGGCGAGCTTGCCGTACGTATACGTCTAGCATTGCATCATGTCGTGTGACGGTTACTAACGTCTATGACTGCATAGCGCGTGGCACCCAACAACCCGGACGACACGCGTATGAAGTACACCGTCACAGCTGGGAACGAGCGCAACCCCTACCTGGCCGACATCATCATCGAGTACTTGGCAAAGTTGTGCTTTGGCCGTGACAGCTCGGGCACCGAACTCGACGCATCTGACTTCCCTGATGCGTCGTTCATCCTGGAGGGTGACGAGGGTGAGGAACGCAAAGAAGTTCCTCGTACGATGGCCGCCTTTGCGGCCACCATGGCGAGTACCCCACGTCCGCATTCCCCCGTTCGATGTACTCATACAAGTATAGATTGAAGTAGCCCTCAAGGATTACGTCCTTGGGATCGAGCAGAAGGTCAACCTGAAGAGCGACACGCTGCGCGAGATCTTCGATGTCCACGCGGCTTCGTTGACCGAAACAGCGCCCGACGCCAAGAACGCTCTCTCGCTCACGCTGCAGGAGTTGTATGACTCCGCCGAGTACGGTTTCCCAGTCTCTATCCTTTCTCGCACACTACTAAGACGCCGATCCAGGGCTTGGCGCCCGCCTACCGTACAAAAGAAGAAGGTCAAGAAGAACAAGATCACCAACACCACCACCGGCACCACGCAGGTTGTGAGGGCGCGCCGCGCCGCTCGCGCGGCTGCGAAGGCCAACAACTAGATGAATCCCGCTCGGTACGACTTGACTCCTGGCATTCCGTCTGAGACTGACGAATGGTCTTGATAGACGCGCAAAATAGCCGGTATACGGCTCCAATCAATCCGTTTCCTTTCTATCGTGATATCTAAGCTTCCGTAAAGCGCGTAACCGCTGACTGCCACATCCTCCCACGCTCAACCGTCGTCTCCGTCTCGTCTCCATCGTCTAGCGCCTGACCGCTGTATATGCTCCCAATTGTGTTCAACCGCATCGCCCGATGTCTTATATAGTATTGCCTGTGGTGTATTGTTGGCTACCTGTTGCTTACTTACTAGCTATCGGGCCTGCTAATCCATCACTCATTCATGGCTAATATGCGCTCGAGAAAGCTCGCAGTAAAGATTTGGTATATTAATTGAGCCCAGAATTACAATTGTGAGTACGGGGGAGAAGACGAGAACGAGGCTCGCAGCCTGCTCATCGGGGATCCTGTGAGCGCCAATGAGCCAATGTGAGTGCCTGATGCTCCGAGAACATCGGCGAGAGACCGTGGAACGGGGCAGGTTGCTCACCAGCGCTCAGGATGGGGCATTTCTCGCCAACAATCCCTGAGAGTCGGTGAGACTCACAGAGAGGGTCTGAGCAGCCAGGCGATTTCCTGATGGAAGGTCTTCTCGCCGCAAGAAGTGCTCATGTCACGTCTCCGTGAGCTTCCTGACATGCTATTGTGCTTGGATAATCTTGAAACACCCTTGTACTCTCGCGGCACGCGCGCAGTCGAAGAGCTCCTAGCCTCACTCGCTGCGCTACCTAAGCTGTCGCTACTGGTCACCATGCGCGGCTCGGATAGACCAGGCTCAGTCGCCTGGGCGCGCCCCTTTCTGCCCGAGATAAAGCCGCTGTCGCTCGATAATGCGATGCAGATATGGGATGCTATCTGTGATGGACATGATGATGACTCGATCCGGTTGGCGAAGGCCGTCGACTGTGTCCCTCTCGCCGTTTCTCTTCTCGCCGCTCTTGCTCGAAACGAGACGTCGAAGACGCTATGGAGTCGCTGGTGCAATGACTACACCAAGTTCGTGAAGACTCGTGGCTCTAGAGACCGTCTCTCGAGCTTGGACATATCTATTGGACTTTCCGTTCATGGCTCGCGGTTGCGAGACCGTCCCGAAGCTGTGCTCCTTCTTAGCATCATCTGTTTCCTGCCGCAAGGCATGCGCGAGTCTCGCTCGCAGGGTTTCGCAGATGCATTCATCGCTGTTGTCCCCAACCTACAGGCTTCCGTCGCCTTGCTCAAGCAGTGCTCTCTGATATACCTCTCGGAAGACGGCTTCCTCCGTGCCCTGAGCCCCATCGTGCATTACATGCGCGCCGATCACACCGTCCCGGATCTCGTGTTCACCAAGCTCGCCGACTTCTACTACAATATCGTAGAGTCTGCACCAGGCGACCCGCATGCAGCTACAGCATATACTCAGGAACACATTCGGGCGGAGGTGGGGAACATAACCTCAGTCCTTTGGCATGGTCTAGAAGCCGGTGCAGAGCTTTTGCGCCCGAGTTTGAGGGCTGTGCTCTGGTTCGTTCAGCATTGCCACCGTTTCCAATTTTACGGACTTGAGCTGCTCGAATTTGCTATTGGACTTGTTCGTGATGAAGACTTGGAGTTCAAGTCTCCACTCCTGCTAGCCAGAGCGGAAGGCTTATATCTTTCCACCCACTTCGAGGAGGCGATTCCCGCGTTCTCTCAAGTGTGCGAGCTTTATCGCGCGCATGGTGATCTCCCACGAGAAGGGGTATGCTTGGCTCGGCTTGGAGACGTATACTACTGGCGTGGCGAGTACGGCTTAGCCCGGGACTCCTTGCTGATGGCCATGAGTATCCTTGAGGACACGGATGCAATCGCACTTTGTCAACTGCATCTTGGCATCATATATACTGTGACAGGGCAGCTGGCTCAGGCGGAGACTCTCCTGACGTCAGCGCACGAAAGCTTCGCGGTCGACCAATCTGGATCGTGCATGGAGATTTGCCTGTGGGCACTGGGCACCCTTCACACTGCTCTATACCAATTTGACCGCGCTGAGCGGGAACTGACGTCCTCACGCCAGCTTTCTAAGACCGCGGGCAACGTCTTGAACGAAGCCATCTGTTTACAATCTCTGGGCCATCTATTCGTTCTCCATCCCGTGCGCCTACATGATGCGGAAGAGCCCTTGAAGCGTGCGCAGACGCTCTATGACGGGATAGGGAATCAACGGGGAGTGGCTGAGTGTCTAGGAAGACTAGGGCAGCTGTACGCTCAGACCGACAAGCTCGATCGGGCCGAGGACTGCCTTCAGTCCGCTGTCAAACTTTATGATGGCAACGTCGATCACCCGCTCGGAAGAGTCACCGCGCTGAATTGCCTTGGAACCCTTTATCGCGTACTGAAGAAGTACGATGAAGCTCGCGCCCTTCACGTCTTAGCTCTGAGGCTATCTTCAGGGATGGCGTATGCGGTTGGGCAAGGCGACGCTCATCTATCCCTTGGGAAAGTTCAGGGTCATCAGGGATATCTCCGTGAAGCAGCGGAAAGCTTCCGAGGAGCGCTGAATGCGTTCGAGCGCGCACAGGACCCCCAGAAAGCATGGCTGGCTCGTGAGTATCTGGAGGGAGTCTTGAGGAGACTTTAAACTTTGAGGCGAGCTTGAGAGATATGCACGGGCGGGCGTGATGGTGCGGGCGTGATGGTGCGGGGGAAGTAGCCGTAGCCGGCTCAACCAGAAGGTTTCGTTGCTGGGCAAGTTGAGGACTGAAGTTTTCACAATCCCCTGTATGTTACAGAGTTTACATGGACATTAGAATGAGTTACGGACTGCATGCCCAGCTCAACGTAATCCGTACTTATGCACACTTTGATCTTGAGTTCGAATGCCAGATATAGCGCTTGGGCCGTGTGACTGGCGTACTCGTAGTGACTGAAGTCTTGCATGGAAGCCCGTCGTAGATTGGGAGAGCGTGCATGAGACGCAAAGCGCCATGGGATTGTAAGTACGAATGAGGAGCATCGCCTGACATCGCATTGACGAGTATCACTACTGGCCTGCACCGCATCCGAACATCGTCACTTCAAGCACCGGTGCGGCACTGGCTACGTGCTTGTTGATAGAGTTGATATCACTAGGGGCATGCGCCATCCCGGTTCGCCCAACCGTGTTTCGCCCCCGGTTGTAGTCCCGGTTCAAGCACGGTTTGAAAGGGAGCGCGATGCCTTTGCCGCACGCATGCACCTTTTCGACACGTGGGACAGCACGCGGCGGAAACTGCGACCGCAAAAGCGACGAGTTCGGGCTCACTGCCAGCTTCCTGGACGACTTGATATAGACGGATCGCCTTACATACCAGCGCATACGCAGGCTTACATAAGCCTCATACACCAACGCGGCAGTGATAACCCGGGCACCGTACAAGCTCGATGGGTGCATTGTGCGGGTGTGTATGGCATCAGTTCTTGAGCAGCTTCATTTCCTGCTTCTCGGATCTTCGGCGCTTCATTTCCGGTGCGCCTCGTGTGATCGCGGATCCCCGC